GGGCCTGTGAGAGCAAAACAGATCAGATTCTGGTGAGAGAGAGCAAACACGAGTGCTAGTGAGGGAGAGAAGCTGTGTAAATAAAAAACACAACCATGTCTTCAAACAATTCTTCAACACTTTCTAATCCTCTTATGTTCATAGGAGAAAATTACAGTGTTTGGGCTATCAAAATGAAGGCCTTTCTAAAAGGTAATGGTGTGTGGGAATCTGTAGAAGATGGGTTTCATCCTCCTATGCTGCCAAACAATCCAACCGTAGCCCAAATGAAGCAACATGCTGACTATGTTCAAGCCTCATACAAAGCCCTCTCATATATTCACAGTGCTGTAATAGATGATATTTTCTCAAGGATCATGGGAGCAGAAATAGCACAAGAAGCATGGGATACTCTTAAGAAAGAGTTTGATGGCAGTTCTCGGGTTAAAGGTAACAAGATTGTAACCCTCAAAAGACAATTTGAAATGCTGAAAATGCAGGAGGCAGAGACAGTCCATCAATATACAAATAAATTGATGGATGTTGTCAACCGAATCAGACTTCATGGTGAGGAATTTCCAGATCGAAGGGTGGTGGAAAAAATTATTTTTAGTGTACCAGATAAATTTGAGTCTAAGATTTCTGCCATAGAGGAATCTTGTGATCTCAAAGAGCTAACCATCACTGAGCTTATAAGCAAGCTTCAAGCTCATGAGCAAGGGCTGGTTATGAAAACTGATGAAACTACAGAATGAGCCTTCCTTGCAAGGCAAAAAGGCAAACAATCAGCCACTAGTTCTGAAAGCAATAAGACCATGGGTTTTAACCAAGCATATTAGTAGCATCAGCAAAGCAGAAAAGGGAGGTTTCCTCCATGTTGTCATTGCTGAAAAACAAACCATGAAGAAAAAGATTGTTGGTTCAAAGGCAAATCACAGATTCAGTGCAGATTTTGTAAAAAGTATGGCCATTTTGAGAAGAATTGCAGGGCTAAGCAACAGCGACAGCATCAAACACAACATCAGCAAGCTCAGTATAGACCAAAGCAACAACAGTAAGTTAATTATGCTGAAGATCAGTGCAATGAGGACTACTTGTTCACAATGTCACAAGGTTCATCTCTGTCATCTAGTAGCTGGTTTGTTGATAGTGGATGCACTAATCATATGGCTCGGGATGAAAATTTCTTCATTGAAATGGACAAATCAGTTATTACAAATGTCAAGTTAGGAAATGGTATTGTGGTGAGATCACAAGGGAAAGGTACTGCTGTTATTCAAACTAAAACAGGTACAAAG